AAGAAATTGAACTTGGCAATATGATGATAGTGGTAGTGGTAGTGGTAGTGATAGTAATAGTGGTAGTGATAGTTCCATATTCCCCCTTTGCTATTTCTTGCAAGTCAGAGCATAATACCTAACAACCTTATATTTGCTATACTTGTTTTATGTAGTTCTGTCAGTAGGTTTTTTGCTTTTGATTTGTGTTATTTTGATACTACTCTTAAATTGCTTAACCAGCAGGTATCCTTTTCATCATCTTTTAATTGGATTTTTAACTTGGTTAGAGTTGAAATTTTCTTTGTCATTATCACTAGTATAAGTAATTCCTTCTTCCTCTTTAGCAAATCAGCTATTGAGACTTCTTTTGAGATGGCAGAGAGATTTACCACCTGTCTTGACCATATATTGAACTGCCTTTTGAGCAAGATTAAAGATTTCTCTGTAATCACATCATTTCTAAACCACGTGACAAACTTCTGGACTGAAAATATTATTTCTGCAGAATTTAGTAATTTGATGTATAGAAAAGAGTCTGAGATAAGATAAGCAGCCTTCATATAATTGTATTAGATCAGTATTTATCATGTAAGATTGTTTATTCAAGTTATTTGAATTTTGTATTTTTTCACTTTTATACCAATACCTAGGAATCAAAGTTACATAGAAGAATACCATATTATCAATAGCCAATACATACCAAAAATATCAACAAATCAAGTTGCAATTAATTAATAGCATGTATGTGTATAAATATGAATGATTTGTGAGGATAATAATGAAATTATTGTGAGTGTAGTGACATTATTGAATATTGTATATCTTGATAATATCATTTTGAGAGAGGTTCGATAAAAGAAAAATCAGATGAATTTACTATGTATTAATCCCTTCTTCAGTTTCTTTAATAAGTTTATTGTTGAGTAATTGATCACTTTCTGTTTTGACATAATAATAGAGTGATTATATAATTTCATGTCTCTATCAAGAAAGCATTTCTTCAGTAAGATATTCTTTAAGAATATGATCAATTTGAGAGAAACACTCAGCAGAAGCATCACTCAATTATGCACTTGTATTAGCATAATATCACTTAGTATGATTAATATATCGTGCTTTATCACATAGTTATAGATCCAAAATAGTGGCAAGTTCACAAAGGCTGGGATGGCTCTGAAGAATATTCTTTATTACAGAGTTTTCACCTTCAACTCATGATGTTGATGAAATGCTGACAGTAAAAAATTTGGTTGTATATAATTTGGCCTATCTTTCTTTGTTAGGATATAGCTCAGAATTAAGATAACTAGCTATCTTGAAGTATGTTGCAATGAGATTGTGCTATTGAGAATCAAACTCAGATAGAGAAAGAATATTTTGATATATGTAGAAATCTTTTAAGAAATTATTAAAGATATTACCAAGAGTAGTCTTGAGATTATGTATGAGATTTTGTAAAATATGATACAGATAGTAAAGTGGATATATGTCACTATACTGATTATCTATAGTGGCATCCATACCAGGGTCAGCATTGGTAATAAAAACTTGGAGAGCATGTCTTGTGGCTTGTAAAGTAAAGATGAGAAGCCATTCATATATTTCTTTAGTTTCATTATTCATTAGAGCTTGTACAACAAGATGAGTATGAAAATAGTTATTAACTGCTATAAATAGGGAAAGCAATATGTTGTATTAGTTGGTTTTATGTATGTTGTCATTCAGTATAATGTCATGATAAGTGATCCATTATTGAACTTGGTCTGATAACATCCAAAATAATTTATCCAGACTATTTGTTTCATGATGAAGTTCCCAAAATACCTCCTATTCCAGTTTCTTGGTCTTTTTGGTAAGTAATTATCTTAAAAGTTTTGCTGCATCATTTTTCTCCCAGTCTGCTATCTTGTATTTCTGTATCAAATTTTACAGGTCACGTGGATGTATTATAATATCAGGAAACTTGGTAGAGAGAAGCCACCATTGGATCATTGCATTAAGTTTACCTTCAACTGTGTAAAAACAAATTTCTTATATAATAGCTTCAGGTAAGGTTCAGTTTTGGGGGGCATATGAGTTGGTCTTAGGACTAAGTGGATGATTATGATTAAGATCTAGTGACATTATACTGATTATTACATTTTTCTTTAGAAAAGTTATGTTAACATGCCAAGTACAACTGGTTCGCTTTGATCCGCTGTTTTGTTGATTCTTCAGGATTACAATTTTCTTAGATTTGTAAGTATCTTAATGATCATAGGTGAGAGTATATCTTCGACAAGTTCTCTCTAGAGAAGGGTCTTGATCATTTCTAGTCTTGATGATAATAAAATTCTCTTGCAAGATATAATCATTAAAATATTTATTGACATCATCCCATATTTAGAAGACTTGCCTAATGAAAGATAACGTGATTTATTGTGGATGGAGAGAACTGAGAGAGCTATATTTGGATTAGTATCCTATTTATTATCAAAAAAAAAATTGAGCAATATAGTACCTTGTAGCTGTAGTAGTTAGGTCTTTCCGCTATATTATTTTATCACAATTATTATTATTGTTGTTATTATTATTGCTAGACTTGTCATTATTGCTAAACTTATCATTATTATCAGACTCTTTACTGTTGCTAGGTTCATTATTATTGCTTAACTATATTATTTCATTACTAGACTCGTTATTATTACTCAGCTGCATTATTTTATCACTGTTTTTAGGCTCATTATTGCTAGGACCACTTCAGAAGAGCACATCATTTTTTATGAGGATTCTCTCACAAAACCCTTGAGTTCTCTCATGAAAAAAAATTCAATTACTTATTTAAGATTGACCAATGATAGTGATATATAACGTGATAATATAATTAAAATTAAATTAATCATATGATTACATTGAATACATATAAATTCACGTGATTGGGATTTGTCACCATCAGTTACAAATATATTTTTTCTTAAAAATATAAATTATAAAAAATTTTAATAAGCTAAGTATTTAAATAATCTTAAATAAAGTTATTTATTATGTCTTAAGTATATATATTTAAATTTTTATATTATTTAAATTAATATTTATAGAAAAAATTAAAAATTATAATTTTTTTTATAACATACTGTATATATTTTTGATAATTTAAGATAAATACTTATTCTAAAATAATTTTATATCAAAAAAGATAATAATATATAATAATTAATTAATAATATATCTCTAAATTATATTTTTTTATATTATAAAATTCTAATAATAAGCAATCTTTTATATTATTATTTTTGAAATTAACTTTTAGAAGAATTATTTATTTTCAAGCTTTTTAAATAAATATAAATATATTAATAACTAATAATTCAAATTAAATATTTTATAATTCATCAAATTTATCTTATTAAGATAATTATTTAATAATTTTTTTATTTGAATCTGATTATTAGTTATTAAAATACTTAAAAATATTTATTATTATATATTAAAAATTACTATCATAAATAAAGATTGCTTATTTAACTTTTTTAAAACTTTTAAATCTAAAGAGAAAGAGTTATTAATTTTAAAGAATTACTTATTAAAAATTTATAGTAATTAATTAAAAATTTTAATTATTAATTAATTAAATTTATAAATTATAAATAATATAATTTAAAATATAGAACTGAATATTATTATATAAAAACTTGATATAAGTATTAATTTAAAATATAAGTTTATAAAATAATATTATAATTCAAATTTAATTTAATTAATAAAATTAATAAATTTCTATTAATTAATATAGAGTTAATTTATATAATTAATTAATCAATTAATTTATAAATTTATTTTTTTATCTTTTATATAAAAATTTATATTATAAATATTAATATAATTTAAATAAAATAAATAATATAAATAAAATATTTATTTATTTTAATATAATAAATTTTATATATTAAAATTAAAAAAATAAAAATAATTTAAATTATATACTTATTATTTTTAAAAAATAAATATTCAAAAATTTTTTAAAGAAAATTATAATAACTTGCTAAAGATTAAATTTATTAATAAAATATAATAAAAATTAAAATTTTTTTATATTAAACTTTATAATTTTATTAAGAAATAATTTTTATTTTTATATTAAAATAAAGTTTATTAATTATAATTTAATATACAGTATATAACAAAAAAAACTAGATATTTTATTTTTGATTATATTCAATGAATATTTATTTAATTTATATAAAATTTTAAATATATGCTTGATAATCTAGTGAAAAAGTTTACTTAAAAGTATTTTTAATAGGTTATTTATATATTACTTTTAAGTAAATTTGTTTATTAAATTATAAGAAATTTTTAAAATTATTTTTTATTAGAATTTGTGAAACTTTTTTTATATATAAAATATATACAAAATTTTTCTAAACATTTTTTTCTATATTAATTTTTTAATTTAAAAAAAATAATACTAATATTCTTTAATAAATGATTTTAAGCATAGATATTAAAGTATATATATATATATATATGTATATTAATTTTCATGCAAATTTAATTAGCCATTACTGTGCAATCGCTTTTTAAATTTGTCCAAAGACTTTGCAACACACTGTATGAGATTTAGGTAACAAGTTAGCAAAATTATCTATTAATTCTTCGAATCTAGTTTACAAATCCCTGAAGAAAATAACTATATTTGTGTGCTGCATCTTTTTGATGTTCCTCAGCTATCTTGTAATTTATCGTGGCAATTTGTTTGAAACTCACCCTTATCCATCTTGTTTGCTTTTATCTGAACTTTTTCCTTACCATCCACAGCAGCAAACAACCCATTTTTATTTATTTCCTTTAATTGGTCAAAATGCACACACAGATCCGTATCGTAATATCTCACATTTTACTGATATTTATTAAATTTGATTAAGCCACTAAGTATTTAGCATAAATACAATAAATACATAAATAATAAATTGCTAGCACTATGTGATATCAATAAGAATGACATAACGTGATATGGATAATCTTAAAGAGTAATAATCTTATAAACGGTCAACATTTCCCAAATCACGACAAGCCTGCTGCACACGTTTGGCCATACTCTTTTCAGCTTCACGAATAAACACACGAGGATCGTAATACTTTTTGTTTGGTTTATCTGGACCTTCAGGATTTCCAACCTGCGTTTGAAGATAACCTTTTTTAGATTCATAGAAATTCCTTATACCTTCCCAGTAAGCCCATTGCGTATCGGTATCAATATTCATTTTCACAACGCCATAACTGACAGCATCATTAATTTCCGTGGACAATGAACCGGAACCACCATGAAATACTAACCACACAGGTTTATCAGTTTTTGCCTTGGTCTTCTCTTTGATATACTCTTGATGTTTTTTTAGAAGAATCGGCGAGAGTTTCACGTTTCCTGGTTTATAAACCCCATGTACATTACCAAATGCAGCAGCGATAGTGAATAAGTCGCTAATCTCAATCAGATTACGATAAACATCCCATACATCTTCGGGTTGTGTGTAGAGTGAAGCATTATCCACGCCTGTATTATCAACACCATCTTCCTCACCACCAGTAATACCGATTTCCATTTCAAGCAATAGATTAACCTTCTTCATACGTTCCAGGTATTGCTTACAGATGGCGATGTTTTCGTCTTTTGGTTCTTCTGAAAGATCAAGCATATGAGAACTAAATAAAGGTTCCCCATGCTTCGCAAAGTATTCTTCATCCGCCTCCAACATTCCATCGAACCATGGCAAAAGTTTTTTGGCACAATGATCAGAATGCAAGACCACAGGACTTTATTCATTAATCAATAGTTAATAAATAGTTAATGGAATATACCATAAATAATAAAAAAGAATAAATACATACATTCCATACTCCTTAGCAACTCGACGAACATGATAAGCAGCTGAGACAGCACCAATAATAGAAGCACGCTGTCCTTCGTTACTCAAACCTTTACCAGCATAAAATTGAGAGCCACCTTGCGAGAGCTGAATAATGAGCGGTGCCTTAATATCCCGCGCTGCTTCCAGCGCAGCGTTAATAGTGGACGAGGAACTAACGTTCACCGCAGGGATGGCAAAATTATTTTCATGTGCGTATTGAAACAATTTACGAACATTGTCACCGGTAATAACGCCAGTTGGAACAATTTCAAGTAAACCCATTATTCTGATAAAAGTGAATTTTTTTTCACACCATCTATATTATTTTATATATGCTATTTATCAGGTGATTTCTTTTAACAGATCATGATATCGGTGAATAAAATGGAATAAATCGGTATAAAAGGGTTGGCATACTCGTGCACAAGAGTTTTCTGAAGATTTTGTTATGATCATGGGAATTTTATTATGTCGATTTTGTAGTATTTAATTAATGGGAATATAAAACAACTATTTTGCATAGTGTAGAACATTAGTTTCAGTGCTTATGATCGATTATGTATATAATAAGAATTATTCTAACGTGTAAGTAGAATCGTCACATGATAATAAACCAATAATCATATGTGAGATTTGTGAACCGACAACTAATAAACCAATAACAATACGCAAATCATTTACGTGCCGGCAACATAAGAGAATTTTATCATCAGAATTATACATTGTACACCGGCGTTACTAATAGATATCCTGCCGGCAGCGGAAAATAGGGTTCTACCTGAGTGACTCCAGGTCGTCTACTGACTCGGAAAATCACGTGATTAGGCACTTTCACGAAACACGAAACACTCGTGCTTTACGCGTTCAAAATTCTATTCTCGATTAAACTTTATAAAATCAAATGTCTTTACTAGAACAAATAAATTTGCCAAAAGGCATAAATTCGCGTGAAAATAATACGGGGGAAGTTAAACTGCATCGACAGTACTATCCTTCGCGCCTTAACCTATACACAATTCCGCCAATTAACGAAATTACTATCGAAGAATTTGAAAGCTTTGCTTTGGACAGACTAACAGGTCTTTAAAGCTTAACAATTTATTAGTGCAATTACCATTAAATGGTGGTTTGAATTTGCCTTCTGATTCTTCGCATTATAAATATTTTCATAATGAAGTTCTAAAAGAGATCGAAGCAACTATTCTACGGAATAAGTCTGAAGGAGAATCCAAAGAATATATAAATCAAGTATTAGCACAATATCTACCTTTGCATACAAATTCATCTTCTGAAGCCTATTCCATTCAACAAGAAAGGAAAAAAGATCATATATCACATTTTATCTTACGTCTGGTTTATTGTCGAAGGTACTCAAAGTTGTAATAGATTTTTTGCAAAGAAATTAATTTAACTTCTCGTGCCATTTGTGCCATTTTTCTTTATATTTGCCATTATTAGTGAAGAACTGCGACAATGGTTTTTGAAATACGAATGTGTTTTATTCAGGTATTTTTGAATTTTTATTTCTTTAGATTAATAATATTTTAATTGGTTTCTTATGTAATAAATACATTACAGATTCAGATATAGTGACTTAACCGCTTCTGAACAATTAGAGTTTCTTAAAGAAAATAATCTAAATTGGAAATGTGCAAGTTTATTTCTGTAATATCTTCAAAAATACATATGGGATATAAGTGAATAAATTATTTTTTTTTTCTTTTGTTAGCTTAATAACAAGGAAAAACATGAGATAAAGGATCAATTAAGGGCTAGTTCTCCTCACGTGAATCCTGAGACTGAAGTCTTTTTTGAGGTAATTAAACTAGAATTATATATTATATTTACGATAGGAAATATTGTTATGCTATAATTTCTTTTTTCTTCGGTTAAGGTTGACTTTGAAAAAGTGTTGGATTTGGTAAGACGTCGTGTAGTGTATATAAAAGGAGGTAAAGCTTATGTGCCCATGCGTGATCAACTAGCGCTAGTAATAGACGAATTTCGCAATCGACTGGATAAAGCATTAAAGGTAAAAATGAAAATTTTCGTAATTTGGTAGAGTTTTGCTAAATTCGCTTTGTACAACGTTATCTAGGATACTTGCAGGGCTCTTCCCGAGATTGATCAAGAGGGTCAAGTGATGCCAATTTTAAATCAAATAGATCACCAAAAATCCGGTCAGGGCTATAGTTGTTCAAAGAAAATTGAAGGTCAGATAACCGCGGATGATGTGGATCAGGTAAGTAGCGTAAATTTATTTTCTTATTGAGCACAAACTTTATTAATTTCTCAAATATTACAGTTGACCGAACATTTCCCATTATGCATGAGACATTTACATAATAAGCTTCAAGAAAATAAGCATTTGAAACACTATGGCAGAATGCAGTATAATTTATTTTTAAAAGTAAGATATTATCAATTTCTGAATGTTTATTAACAAAAATATCAAGATTTTACCAAGTTACTTTTCTCAAACAATATAGGGAATTGGACTTTCTGTGGAAGAAGCACTCAGATTTTGGCGGACGGCATTCTCTAAACTTAACGATGATAAATTCCAGAAATCTTATGCATACAACATCAGACACAATTACGGAATGGAAGGCAAAAGAACTGATTATGCCCCGTTGAAGTAAAGTATTTATTCTTGATCGGATACACTGTTTACATACCATCATAATTTTTTTCTTATTACACACTTCAATCACTTGAATTTTCAGTTGTATGAAAATAATCACCAACAATCAACCAGGCGAAGGAGATCATCACGGTTGTCCATTTCGACATTTCTCTGAAGATAATTTGTCACGTACACTTTATAATGCCGGTGTAACAGACAAAGCGCAAATTAGACAAATATTGGAGTATGCCAAAGGGCATCATTATAATATCGCTTGCACAAGGTTTTTCGAGTTGACGCGTGGTAGTGGATCCAAAGAGCAGGGAATGATGGCAGCAATAAATCACCCAAATGAATTCTTCGAAAAAAGTTATCAATTAAGTCAAGAGGGATCACTGGGAAATAATGCTACTACTAATACTATTACTGGCTAATTAGTTGTAAAGATATTTTGGGCTTAGATATAATGATTTTTTAACAATTATTTTGACATGGATAATTCGAATTATATCATCCTCTAAAAAATATTTTAGAAAATTATCAAATTATAAATGTCTTGCGACGTTGATTTAAGGATTGAACGAGTAATTCTTAATTTGCACAAATCAATACATGACAATTTTATAGCTGACATTCAAGAGTTAATCTATTTATAGAAGGTTATCGCCTTTGACAGTTATTTTTTATTCGCATCACGAATTTCTTTGCGGATTTTTTGGCAAAATTCGTTGCAAATCCCTTTGCAGATTTCCTGGATTTCGTCCCGAATTTGATTGCGAATTTCGTTACGGATTTCATTACGAATTTCTTTACGTATTTCCTCACGAAATTTTTCTGTATCGAACTCCAAATGGGTAGATTTTTTATATTTTTATATTGATTTTAAGTTACGGTCTCAGTACAAGAATAATTCAGGATGTTTTTCAACGATTTCATCTCCAAATTCGTCATCACAACATAATTTTTTTTGAGGATGGTATAGGTTCAGAATTTCAGCTCCTTGTTGAGATCGTAGATATTGATCGAGCAGAGATCAACTTTCCGTTTTAGTAGTTTAATCTATTAAGCGAAAAATAAAGGGTTTTCAGACAATATTATTTACAAACCAAAACTCAATTGATTCATACCTGTCTCTCCCGGATTACCTCTTAACTATTGAGAATTTTCAATGTATATCCAGAAATTCTTGTCGACTTTTTCATTTTTGAGCTGCAATAAGAAAAAATATATCATCAGATGCCTTTCGTGGAGCGGGCGGGCAACGAAGGCACATACGAGCATATTTATCGACTAGTAAAAAAAAGCTTCTTTACTAGCAGAATATTTTTACGCCCTCCTATGGGGAACCCACTCCTCCTACGTTTTACCACGGACTCTGCGTTTACAAGACACGCTTGTAAAAAATTACCGTAAACGCTTTTGATTGGCTATCATGCAATTTCAATTTGATCGCGTATCCTAATCGAGAATTTTTAAGACGCGCGAAACAATTAGATATCGAAGTATATTCTTTTGGCGTATGTATGTTAAAAAATGTTTGAAATTTCAGACGAAGAGATTTGGAATCAAGATTCAATTAAATTGACAAAGAATCATGGTAATGACCAGGACCGAAAATTGAATACTCAACAAAGCGTCTTTTCGAATATAAACAACAACAACCAACCGCTTACTTTTTGCCAGAATTCATGCACCTCTTCTTCAGCAACAACCAAAAGCTCATTTTTTAGTACTCCCAAATTTAAGATTAAGAATGTCGACAGTCCCTCAAAGAAATCTTTTTCTTTTAATAAACGTTTGCGCACGGAAGCTTTTACTAAAGTCTCCCGCTCCGAAACGAGGGACTCCACTTTATTTGACTACTTTGGCCGAAAGTCAACCAGTGGTGGACTCAATACCACATCCTTCGCCACCACCATTAACAATCAAGGTATAAAAAGTTTGAATAATTTGATTTTTTTAATCCTGGGGATGGGGCTGATAAAGCCCTTGTGTAAGCTATAGCCAGTGATTGTACAAAGTTTATATGTGATGAAATAGAAGAGCAATCGGCATACCATGAGAAATTGACCTTCAATAGTTTACCTGCTATTGGAAAAGATTTCGATGCTGTAGATTTGAGCGTCAATAACGAAGACGACTTCGATTTTCTATATACTAATGATATTTCCGAGTATAAAGATGAATTGGACGCGAATAACTCGAAAATTGATCTCGATGGGCTAAAAAATTATGAAACTTATTCGGAATTAAGGGATATTGAAGAAGATAGGGTGACAAAGTGTCCGATTTGTGATTCATCATTGATAGGATTCTCGATTGAGGCAAAACATTTTAAAATTTTATTATATTTTTTAAACGTCTAAAAAGATTAGTCTCTGATTTTACAATATCATTTAGCAGTCACAAGTTCACATTAACAAATGCTTAGATAAATCAACCGAGAAAGAGACTCCATCAAAATTCATCTCATTAAAAAATATCACCGATAATACTGGTTCCAATAATACATCATTGGCTTCTATCAATTCCACCCCTTTTCAATTGGAATCGAATAATACCCAGAACTCATCAAGGAATATGTTTTTTGGTTCACTCAAGAATAAAGTGACTAGTACCACAGGTACTAGCACCATAGGTATTGGGCAAGAGATGAAAATAGAACACGAGAGTTTACTTAATGATCCAATACAAAATAATATCAAGAAGAGTATCGAAAACGCCGGCCCATCTAATTCCAGGCTCATATCGAAAAAAATATCAACTACCATTAAGGCTAGCGAAAATAAATCAAAAAAGACGTGTCCAGCGTACAAAATATTGCCAGGTACATAATTTAATACGAGTTGTTTACTTTTTTAGATTTTTTCATTAATTTATAAAATACTAAATATTAATGCGAATTAGAAACTCAAATTGCTGTTGATGCATTCTCTTATGGAAAAATACCCAATTGTAACGCTTATTTTCTGAGGTTTGTATTTTAGATAATTATAATGTCGTTATGCAATTATTTATTAATAATACTCTACCTTTATTGTAGCCATTTTCATTCGGATCATTATGGCGGGCTCTCTTCAAAATGGACCTATGGACCAATATACTGCTCGGTAGTCACAGGAAATTTAGCAATCCAAAAGTTACGAGTTGACCCTAAATACATTCGGAAACTTCCATTGGATCAGGAAATTGATGTTGGTGGGAATGGTGTCTCTGTCACTTTAATAGAAGCAAACCAGTAAATATTCTCTCTTCCAGTTTAATAAAATATTATTCATTGACATGAAAACATTTCAAACCGTTTCTATATTCCAATTTCTAGCTGCCCCGGCTCTGTACTATTTCTATTTAAAGTTATGAATTCACGAGGTCAAATCCTTCGATATTTACACACTGGTGATTTCCGGTACTTTTTCCTATAATTTTATCAGTAAAGATTTCAATTATATTATTTAAATTTCAATTCAAATTTCAATTTCAAGGTCATGTCCTCGACAAGTAATCCATCATGCAATAGTTCAACCACAAAATCCGCCAATTGACGCTCTTTATCTAGATACTACATATCTGGATCCGAAATATTGCTTTCCTCCTCAAGAGCAGGTGGTAAATGCGGTTATTGAATTAGTGAAAAAAGCTGTCATGAATCAACAGCAATATTATGATCTGTATAAAAACAAACACAAAAAGCCAAGATCACCAACTGCTTTGGATCTTTGGCTCGAGAAAAACCCAATACAGGATCTTATTAGTGATTCTAACATCACTAACAATTTGTCCGAAAAAGATCATTTTTCCGAGGACATTATTGGAGAATTGACTCCCACGGATTTTAGGTCGATAGAAGCAACGAGAATAATGAAATTTGAAGAGCCTGTTGAAGAGGAAAAAGTTTCATTAAGGAATTCAAATGTCCTGATTGTGGTTGGAACTTATTTAATTGGAAAAGAAAAAGTTTTTTTAGGTGAATCAAATGCTTTATGCTTTGAAATGAAAAAATTTTGCAAATAATTCGACTCGCTCTACTCTCTTTATAGGTATCGCTAAGGCTCTCCATTCAAAAATATACGTAACCAATGAAAAACGACGCGTTCTTCTTTGTCTAGAAAATCCAGAGTTAGAAGCACTATTGACTGATGACCCCCATACTGCATCAGTGCATGTTGCGTCGATTACCTCTATAAGACCAGATGTTTGTCTTATTATTCTTTCTTTGTGACATTATTCCTATTAATTAAATTTAACTTCCTTAATTTATTAGATATTGAAGTCATATTTGAGAGCTTTACTTCCAACATACACATCAGTGATTGGAATACGACCCACAGGATGGGCTTATAATCCACCCAAGAGCGAGATAGTTTCTGATTCGGCCTCTATTGAGACTTTGATCAACAGTTATAAAACATTTACTATTGAGTCTTTAAAGCCGTCATATTCGTCAAAAGATTGTGACATATTTGCTGTGCCGTATTCTGAACATTCGAGCTTTCGTGAATTAGCGGCATTCATCTTGTCATTGGACGTAAAGATGATCGTACCCACGGTCAACGCGGAGTAAATTATCTTCCTTGCAGTATAATTCATCTTATTTCATTTATATGCTAATTATCTTTCAATTATAGATGTGAAAAGAGACGCAAATTGATGAATTTTTGGCTTGAGAAATGGCAGCATGAGAAGAAAAAGAATGGAAAAGCCAAAATAATTCGTTACCCAACCGAGGATCATTGGTAATTGGAATTATCATATCAATCATTTAGAATAATAAATAAATATCATAGGAAAAGTGAATAGAAAATAGTAAATAAAATATAAAGAGCGCATATCGTTATACAATTTGTAAAAAATCATTAAAATTTAATGCCTTCTACCAGAATCGAACTGGTGACCTTCCGCTTACTAGGCGGACGCTCTGCCAACTGAGCCAAGAAGGCGTTAAATCATGTGTACGTTGGCGATATTTCTAATTAAATTAATTTTTAGATTAAGATTTCTATTTGTTCACGTTGATTTAGTTGCGATAGTTTTTATTTTTAATAGAGTATTTCGAATTTAGGCATTCTTTATCAACTATCAACCTTGAATTTGCGAACTAATTTAGCAAAAATGAAGCATACAAAAAAGCTGGAAACTGAGGGTAATGAGAAAATGAATATGAATAATATATTATTTCAAAATATTCAGGCTTCTCCATATTTCAAACAATTGTAGTAAGTACTTAAAATTCAGTTAATTATGATCCATCATCGGATAGAAGGGAAAAGGGTATTATGATAATTATTATATATTTTCTTCTTGTCTAGTGAACTGAAAACTTATCATGAAGTCATAGATGAAATTTATAATGAAGGTAAACTATACAGGTCATTTGAAGGTTCTTTGGGTTAATTATAAACGTATGATGTTAATAAATTCTACTTTAACTTTTTTAGTATCGTCACTTGGTAGGTAAACAAAATATCACATAATTTTCCTCATAGAATTTTTACTGGCAACAAGAGTAAAACAATGTCATAATATGCTATTGGATTTTCGGATAAATCAGAACCTTTTCTCAAGGGAACGACTGCTTCGACTGCTTTTTGTTTGCTCTATAAACTTTGGACTTTGCGACTTACTGTTAAACAAGTCACTGGATTAATTGATCATACAGATTCACCGTGGGTATTCAGTACGTCTTATTACATCCTCATGAATTCAACAACTTTGTTTTATTGATGCGTTCTTAACCGCTGAATTTTTAAATTAGACATATTCGAGCGCTTGGTTTCTTATATCTTCGATATGTTTGTAAACCGGCTGATTTATGGGGATGGTTTGAGCCTTATCTAGATGACGATGAAGAAATTCAAATTCAAGCAGGTTCGAGGCCTGTTATAATGTATGTATGTTCTATGAAGTGCTCTTGTGTGTGTACTCTGACTTCTAATCGTGAGTTTGACAATAGTGTGAAAAATTTCATGTTTGATTTTTTTCCCGTATTTATTGTACTCAAATATTGTAAATGTGCATTTTTTATTCCACACACAATGATCATTGTAGAACGATTGGGCAAATGTGTCAACAATTATTGACTGAGCAAAAGTGGATTGGGACGATGCTGCCACGTATTCCCGTTCCAATTGCCCGTGATATTCAGCAAAAATTGAAAGCAAGATCGCAACCACCACCACCACCTCCAAGGTAGGCAATATTTGTCATGGCATTTATTTTTTATCTTTTTTGTTTTTGAGTTTTGATCTGCCTCAGGTTGGGCCTTGGTACTGCCCCTTTTTTTTTAATTAATACCGACTGGATTGTAAAATTGATGATCCTTCAAAGGAATGAGGTAGAAAATAAAAAAGCGATCGACCTTTCCGTTTTTACAATACATGTCGAATCTTACTCAACTAGAATGTTAACAATATTTTTGCACAATGTTATTTTCTTCTTGTGGATTTAGGCGAGAGTCTCCTTCTTACGATCTAGAGCCTAGAACGTCAGATAGTCGCGCCTCTGCTAGAGATGGCCACGATGATCGAGAATATCGTCGTAGTCGTACTCGTAGTCGCAGCCGCACTCGCAGCCGTACTAGAAGTAGAAGTGCGGATAGAGGATCTTCTAGATCACGTCGACGAGAACATGAGCGAAGTCATCGAGATCGTAGACGAAGCAGAGATAGAGACTACGAACGGCGAAGAAGCCGAAGTTCTGATCGATATAAAAGACATCGAAGTTCGACCCATGATCGAAAAGAAAAGGACTATGATCGGCACGGAAGCCATGAACACGATAGAAGACACGATGAACACAGTAGAAAGAGGAGACATTCTGATGATAAAGGAAATGGTCGGCGAAGAAGTCGAAGCCCAAAACGTTAAACAAAAGCTTTTGATTTTTCAAAGTACTAGATGATAGCATTATTCAACAAAAATACTTTTTATCTGATTTATTATAGATGCAGAAATTCTTGCTCCCTAATTATCAAGTTCGTGTGTCATTGGGTATATCTTATCCTTTGGTATCTTAACATTATCTTTTTAAGATTAATTAATTATTTTTTTTTGTTTTCCTTTAATATATTATATACTAAATAAAGATTTGTTATACTTTGCCCCACACAGAAACATTTAATATTACTGAATGAAACAAAAGGTATAATTCATTTACATTGCCAAATCCCAATTTGTTTTATTATAATGGTATAATTCAATAATATATAATTGAAGTGAAAATTTATATTTTAAATTAAAATAATGAGAATATTGTAAGATCATTCTGAATTAAAGAATTTTTATTTGTTTAACAGTACTTTTTTTCATTTAATGAAAAGAATTTTTTATTTTTTTAAATATTATTTATATAAATATACAGTGGCAATCAAAAATAATGCAACGCTTAAATTTTTTACTAATTATAATTAGTAAAATATGTATTTTT